GGCTGGGGGGGCGCGGTCGGTCGGTCTGAATGAGCAGAGGGGGGGGGGGCGCGGTCGGGCAAGAGGGGAACGCGGGGGGGCTGCTGTCGGGCACGGGGGGGGAACACGGGGGGAAGGGGGGGGGCACGGAGGGCCGCGGTCGAGCAGGAAGGGGGGGGCACGGTCGGTCGGTCGGAATAAACAGAGGGAAAGGGGCACGGAGGGGAGAGGGGGCGGGGGACACGGTCGGGCAGACGGGAGGGGGGGGCACGCTCGGCCGGGCGGAATAAGCAAAGGGGGGGCGCACAAGGACAAGGGTGGGAGTCACGGGGTGCGACGGTCCGGGGGGGGGGGCGGTCGGCCAAGTGCGGGGAGGGGGAGGAGGAAGAAGAGGAGGACGACGAGGCGGAGGAGGAAGAGGTGGAAGAGGAAGAAAGATGACAAGCCTGTCACACAATGAAGCGTTTCGTTCATTCACCCGTTCACGCGTTCAGCTGACACCGTTTAACCGAGGAGATCACTCGTGCATAGACCCATGCACGGAAACGACTCAGCGGAACCATGCATTGACTGATGCCACGTATATCGTAAGTGAGACGCGCGTACCCAGCCGGGAGGCGGTTGCGCAGGAAGCTGCGACGGTTACGCGCTCCGATGTGCCTGGATCTCACCAGGGGCTCACAATTTTCCCGCCTGGCCTCATATGGAGATCAATCAATTTGAGCGTGACCTGCACACGTCTCTCTACCACTGACTGGATTCTTCAGCCCGCAAAGCACACGCGTGGATCCCTGCGGGGGGAGGGGACGCCCCGCCGGATACCCCAGGGGCGCAGGAAGTAGCGACAGACGTCACAGCACCGAAGAGGCCTGGCCTGGCTTGGATGTGGCGGGGGGGCGCTTCGCTGGACTACACTCGGACGACAGAACTGGCGGCATCTGTGCGATGGCAGCAGCCAGGGAGGCGACGTAAGAGGAGAAAAGGAGGAGGGATGCGGGCGGGGAATGAACAACAGCTGCCCTGATCAAAACGAGGGCCCAGGCCGGCAGAGAAGAGTTGGAAAGAGAGGCGCCCATCCCAACGCCAACAAGCCCTGTGTTCTGCAACCGATGCTCAATCAGACCTGCACAATCTCCAGAGCTCGCTTAACCCCTCTTGGGTGTTCGTCATCGGGGGAGGGGGGGCAAACGGGGGGGCGGCAAGAAACGTGCGCCCTTCGTGCACCTTTCGGGCCCAGTGTGGCAGTCTGGGGGCCAAATGGGACCTTTTTTGATGCCACTTTCCTGTAATCCTAAACGACCTCCCCCGTTCATTGCCTCCCCGTTGTCGTGCGTCCGACCCTCCAGACTCCGAGGCAAGGGCCTTATACAGAACCAGAGCCTGGGGGACCGAGCTCCGGGGGCCTCGGTAAGCGGCAGATGTGGATACAGCCGGCCTCCCCGGGGCACGAATGCGTGCATGTCTACCGCCTGCCGAAGTCGGCGAAGGTTGATGTGCCAGGCGGTGGTCATGGATCAGCCCCCGCCTCGGACAGACGAGCATCCGGTTTCCTCGGCGCTCCGGCCGTCGAGATCCGCCGCAGCGTCGCCGAGCCTATGGCCTCCGAGTCAGTCCACGAGGATTCGCGCCTTGGAGACGTCCACGGCCGCCGCTCGGTCGGCAAGGCCTTCGCCCGCGTAGCTGACGAGGGGCGACACCTACCGCCAACAGAGAAATCGGTGGGATGGGGGCGAGCGGGCGTGTTAATCTCTCTCTCTCTCTCTCTCTCTCCCTCTCTCTCTCTCTCTCTCCATGTGTGCATATATGTATATATATGTGTATGCATGTACATCCCTTTCTGCCCCTCTGCACCTCTCATTAATTATATATCATGGTTTATATATACATGTGTATGTATGTATATATATATATGTTGTTCCTAAATATCTCTCTCTCGTTGTCTCATTTATCCACGCGTGCTATGTCGGTTCATGTATACAACAATAGACAGATATATAAATTTTCACAGGTGTCACAATGCATGCGGCATGCAATACGCATGTGTGTACCAACGCATGCTTATATATATACATACATGTACATACATACATACCTACATACCTACAAACATACATACATGCATACATACATACATACATACATACATACATGCATGCATGCATGCATGCATGCATACATACATACGTACATACGTACATAGATACATACACACATACATACGTACATACATACACACGTATATGCATGCATGCATACAACTATACATACACGCACCTACATACCTACATACCAACATACCTACATACCTACATACCTACATACCTACATACCTACATACATACATACATACATGCATGCATACACATACACATACACATACACATACATACATACATACATACATACATACATACGTACATACATACATACATACATACATACATACATACATGCATGCATGCATGCATGCATCCATACATACATACGTACATACGTACATACCTACCTACATACCTACCTACCTACCTACCTACCTACCTACATGCATACATACATACATGCATACATACATGTGTGTTTATATACACACATACACACGTCCCACCATACATCTCTGCCACCGTGCCTTTCAGCACGAAGTAGCGTGCCCAAAAGCTCATGCAGGTGCACGAGTTTGGTGGGCTGGAGTATTCTTAAGAGTCCCGACAACGGTTTTCTATGTTTTACCTGGTGCTCTTGGGGCGTTCCTGGGCCCTGCCAGGGTGTGTCGCGTCGGCCTCCCAGACGGTGGCGCCGCCCAAGAACACCCGCAGAACCGCCAACATTTCCCGAGAAGCGTCCAAGAGGATCCAAGAGCGCGCCAAGAATCGAGCCAGCCCCAGGAGGCCCCGAAGCTGCCCGCGATGCCCCCCGGACAACCCAGACGGCTCCCAAGAAACCCCAGGAGGACCCCAAGAGGCCTGTATATTCCCTGTGATATTCAAGCAGATGTTCGCGTTCTCGCATTTTCGGGCCCCCGACGATCCAAGACGGCTCACAAGGCCTCCAAAATCGCGCCAAGACGGCCCAAGAGGCCCCCAAAGGGCCCCCCAGACAGCCCAAGAGGGGCCGAAGACAGCCCCAGAGGCCCCTCAAGTAGCCAAAGACGGAGCCACGAGGGCCCCAAGAGGGGGAACTCGAACTGACATGTCGCGCTCTCCGCCCAAAGATGGCCCCCCCAACCGCCAGCAGGCCCCAAAGGGGCCCGCCAGAAACTCATGGAGGCCCCCCAAAAACCAAATCAGGCCCCAGGAGGCCTCCAAAAGGTCCTCGGGCCCCAAGACACCACCAAAATCGCCATCAGCTGGAGACTGGCCCTGCGCAGCTGGAGTCGTGCGGGATCCTATTGCTTCGGCCATTCAGACTCGCAGGTCAGAGTGGGCCGAACATCCGAAAAAGCATCCGATGGAGATGTTGTCAAGCAACGCCTCTGCAATGATGCCAGCGGCAGGCGCCGCCCCTGAAAACGCAACCGCGCCGCGATGGATGCGAACGGGATGCCTGGTGAGAGCGCCCGGGCAAAGAAGCTGCGCCTCCTGTGCCCACAACCGCGGAACGGTCTCGCGGCCGAAACCCAATGGGAGCAATCGCTGGGCGACCACAGGCAGGAATTGCCACGCTCTTGCAACACAGATCCATTGACACGGCCGGGGAACACATGCGCACGATGCCCGTCCAAGGGCATTCGGCTTCAGATCCGCTTCCCCTCATGGGGGCTATAACCGCACCCGTCGAAAGCGACCTCGAGCACGAAAGCGGCAACGCGCTACAGTGGCCAGGCGGGCCATCATCACCACGCTCGCGGACGAGGAACATGAGGAACGCCAGGAGAAGAGAGCGAGGCGAGAAGGGGAACACGCCCCAAACCGCGATGCATCTGCCCTCGGCCTTCGAAGCCCCTGCGTGGCCCATGTAACCCAAGGCCTATGCAGCCGCAACGCAGAAGGCCTACACTGAACGAGTCAATGCGTCAGCACCTGGAGCCAGAAATACGATAGCGCAGTACCCGGGCAAAGCTAGAAGTGAGGAGGCGAAGGCAGAGAAGGAGAACAGAGGAAACAACCAGACAAACCAGTAACCTTTCACAACCTCCCAGCCTCAGAGGATCACCGATCAGGCACGCTGAACTGTCAGTTGCGTGCGGGAAAGTCCCAGCGGAGGGAGACAGAAATGCCGAGAGGTGCCCCCGGGCGCGAGTGCATGCCTGAATGCTGGGCGAAGCCGTCCACACGGCGGCGGCCCCAAAAAGGGCAGCGCGCAAGCGAGCAGCGGCTCCCCGGAGGGAGCGGACGACAAGACCGGGCGGCAGATCCATGGCCCATCCCCGCGTGCAGCCAGGGCCTGCGCCAGTTCTCCCGCACGGGCGCGGCCACCCGGGCGCACACCGCGCCACGGCCCTGGGAGAGGAGGGGACGCGAGGGGAAGGAGGCGGAGGACAGAGGAAAGGAGGCAAAGGGGGACGACCTGCGCGCTCCAGGCGAGCGTCTGGGGCCTCCACAGCCGCCCACAGACCTGCCGGCAGAGATCCACAGATCGGCGCCACGACTCGGAGGGAGGGGGGGGCGAAAAGGCCGAGGAGGCGGAGGACGGAAGAAAGGAGGTGCCGGGGGCGACTGCACGCTCTAGTCGAGCGCTCGGGGCCTCCACAACCGTCCACTGACCTGCGAGTTTGAAAGCCGTCCGTCAAGTTTCGATCGAGTCGGACAGCTGGCGAGTCGAGGTGACCGCGAAATGCTCCCACATTCGAGCCCTCTTGGAGCCCTCTTGGGATCGCAGAGCCCTGGGGCAGGCACAGCTGGGCGCGTTGGCGCGCTCGCGTGCAACTGGAACGATTTCACTCGATCCAAAAACCCTTTGCACGACGCCGCGTCCACGGCGGCTACGGAGAAGGAGAAGGGAAGGAAGAGGAGGAAAAGGGAGGAAACTAAAAACGTTGGCTAAATGCGAGACGGAGTCCGTCCTGACAGGCGTTTGCGGTGTGGCCAGGGTGGTGACGCCACCGGCAGTGCGTGAAACATGCGCTTGCTGTGAGCAGAGCGCGGGGAGGCCTCCATCCAAGGCCAGGTCAACACTGCCAGGAAGAACACCGCTAGAGAACACTGCCAGGAAGCCCACGGAAGAAAGGCAGATGCCAGAGGCAGGAGGCAAAGCCGGAGACAACTCTACGCAGCCCACAGGCGCGACGCGGCACCAGTGCGTTGGGTCTCTGCCAGGAAGCCCCTGCGCGCGCACACACAAACACACACAAACAAACACATAAACAAACACAAACACACACAAACACTTTTTGAGGATCGCGGCCTCGCACACGGCGACGAGGGGGAGCAAGTCGAGCAGACGGCACGGGGGGAGACACTCGCACTTGTTGCTTCCTCCGACGCGCCACGGGTCCAACCGGCGGACAATCACGATGCCGGGCCACGATGGACATCACAACCTTCCTGGAGAAGCGGCGCGGCTGGGCGATGCTCCGGGATGCGCGCGTTGGCGACTCGGGGTCGAGAAACCTGGCGGGCGCAGAGCAGAGTCCCACGCACACGCGCGCACCCTCTCGAACACACACGCACACACGCATTCACACACACACACACACGCACGCAAGCACGCACGCACGCACACACACAGACACACACACACACACACACACGCACACACACAGACACACACACACACACGCACGCACGCACGCACACACGCACACACACACGCGCGCCTTGCGGTCGCACGCGACCAGGGCAGCAGCCCACCCGAGCGACAGGGCACGCGCACGACACCCGGCGCACGGGGCGCCCGGCCATGGGCGGGCACAAAGGCGACGCACGGGTCGCCCACGAGGAGCCCGCGGGGGGCCACCTACCGGGCACCAGGCGAAGCCCGGCCACACCGGTCAAATCACTTAGGAAGGCACGCGAGGACCCCCTCATGTGCAAGCATCGTTTGGGGAGCTGTATCATTCTGCACTGGATGATAGGCTGTCTGGCAGGGGGCCATCGCCCTCCTGAGCCCTGCACCTCTGCCGAGCCAGTCTGATCACCTCGTTTTGCGTCGCAGGCGCGGACAACACAACACGGGGGGGGCAACCTGTGCCAGAGGACGGAGGCACAATCTGTCGGGTGGGGTACATGCGGCTCCTTGGTCGTATGTATGGCCTCGCCCTGACGAGTTGTCAAGATATGAGCTGCATTTGAGAAGAGAAATTGGCATGATCCTGTTGCACTGGACTATTCCATAGTGGTCCTCACAAATCATCGTATGGTCTTCATAGTGAGCTGGGTCATAAGATCTCGCTCTGGTACCCCTGAAATTGGCACCAGAAGCATGGACCCCCTAATTTGAATGCCACCTGTCTCGTCGTTGGGCTTCCGGAATTCGCCCTGCCTCTGACATTCATCCGGCGTGCTATCAGTTTAGTTACAGGGTCTTTGACTTATGCCTTAGGTGACGGATGGTACCGTTCAGAAACAATATGTCAGAGAGTTGTTCATCGGCTGCTGAACAATAGACTCGAGCCCTGAGACTCCAAGATTCGAGCCACATCCAAAGCAGGATTTGCCGTAGCCAATGTCAATGAAAGCGGTACCTAAACCAAATGACAATAACATTGCAAGACTCTTGTGCTGATGCACTACCAACGTGTCCAAGCTAGAAGAAACACCCCTGGCGGCGGCGGTGTCCTCGCAGATAGGCCCAGCTCCCGAGGCGTCGTCCTCAACGATCGGCGACCCCGCGGCTCGCAACCAGCGCCGGTGTAGCCTGACCCACAGTGGCGAGCGCTGGGTTTCGGAGGACCTCCTCGCCCGCCCCAACACCCAGGCGTCAGTAAGAAGTCCACCATGTTTTTGCCCTGCTTCGGAGCCCAGGGCATTCATCCTTGAGTCGAACAGGTCGATATGGCTCGAAAAACGCATCTGAAGATGACGTCGCGAATCCCGCCAAATGTTTTCCTTTCGTGGTGACAGATTTCGGGATCCTCTCCCCTCCTCGCCCCCCATACCATCCTCGTCCGCCTGATCCTCATCCACCCATACTGTCGCACCACTGGACGTGGTCGTGGACCGAGCTGGGCGTTTGGTTTGAGACGCCCTTGCCACTTATCTAAACGACGATCCTTCGGTTTGCGATTGGCATCTGGACCTGTTGGCAATCTATACATCGATCGATCCCATTAACCAATCTACACTATCTCTCATGTCCGACTATGAATGTATTGATCGACCCCTGATGCACCATTATCTAAGAGCGATTTCACTACCTGTATGTATGCGTACGTTTTGTTTGACTGTGCGTATGTTTAGAAATAAAGAGCAATATGCGTTTGTCTACTGGAGGAACAGATACGGGACAATCACTGGACAACTGCAGGGCAACCACGGACAACCGCGTGACAACGACGGGACATTGACGGGACAACCAAGGACGGCATCGATGGGGTTCCGAAGACGGCCTCCGAAGGGGCCAGACGAGCCAAGAGAGCACTTCGACGGCCCAGCAGGCCCCCAAGAGGCTCCAAGAAGCTTTCTCGTTTGAGTCGTCGTCGACGTCGCCGCACCCGCCCAAGTTTTCCAGCAAGAGGGGAATCGAGCAACGTCGTAGCCGAGTCGAAAGGAAGCCGCTTCCCATTGATCCCTCCCCCGCCAGGGGAGGGGGTTATCCCGGGGTCGTGAGGTCGTGACCCCCCCCCCCACCCGTGGGGGGGAACACCCCTCCCTGGGAGAAACTTTTGGCTTCAGAGCGTCATCGTCGTCGTCGTCATAGCCGTCATCGTCGTCGTCCCCTTCCAAGGTCGGCGGCACTGGCCGTAAGACCTTCGCAATCTACACATACGACTCTCCTTATCCCCTGATGCTGTCGGGTGCGGGGGTGTGGGGGCGCCTCTCCCAAGAACAGACTTCTCCCACAAGAAGCATCAAGAGACAATAGCATGTAATGTTTCCAAGTATTCTTGGCGTCTGTCTTTACATGACGCTACAACTGCAGCGTTGGCCACGTTTCAGGATACGTTCTTGGTCCCCGTCGTTCAGAATGGTAAACGTATCTGTCTCTCTCTCTCTCTCTTTTTCTCTCTATCTCCCCCTATCTATATATACATACAGAATTTTGTTGACTCGCTTCGCTTCGCCACAACATCTTGTCCCTCATCCTCGTCCTTGTCGCAGCAATGCGGATCTGGTATCTAAATGTGTTAGGTTGAAGACGGATTGTTGTGCTCGTGGACTCCATGGTTTCAGGCGTGCTGATAATTATGAAGTGTTTGCGAGTTTGGCAGCATTGGGAAGTTCGAGATGTTGCGGTTGCAGGGAAAAGTTCGGAGGGCAGTTGTGTCGGTGGTCGCTCTCGTGCCCATGCTCGCGTTCGTGTTGGAAACTGTGCCAGTGGGTGTGCTGGTGGCCGTGCTCCTGGTCATGGCGGCGGTCGTAGTGGTGATGATACTGGTCGTGCTGGTGGTCGCGCTAGTGGTTGTGCTTGTGTTCGTGCTGGTGGTCGTGCGGGCGGTTGTGCTGGTGCTGATGCTGGCGGGGCTGGCGGTCGGGCTGATGGTCGTGCTGCGGTCTGGCTGGTTTTCGTGGTGGTTGTCGTTTTCGTTGCCGTGCTGGCAGCCGTGCAGGTGGTCGTGCTGGAGGTGTCGCCCGCGGTCGTGCCGGTGGTCGCGCTGGTGGTCGCGCTCGCGGCCGTGCCCGAACAGAGGGCCTGGTCGTGCTGATGGGACGCACGGGCGGCTCGCGCCGTGGGACCCAGGTGGGCGTGTCGTCGGCCTGGGCTCTCGTAAGGAATGATCAAATCCAGGGGCACGGAATCACCCAACGGGCATAACTAACTTGTGGTTCACGTCGACGGCTGTTTTTTTCTTCCGGGCCCCGGGGTGCGGGGAGGCTGGCGCCCTTCAGGCAGGCCGGCGCCGAGGGACCGTCGTGAGTGAGGGATTTCATAAGGAATGGAAATATGTAGGGGCGCAAGGCCGCCCAACGGGCCGAACCATTTTTATGTTCATGTCGACGGCTGTTTTTTTGAAGGCCAGGGATGGGAGGCGTCCGGGCTGGCGCCGACGGGCAATCGCGGGTGTGGGCTTTCGTAACGAATGAGCATATTTAGGGGCGCAGATCCGCCCAACGGGCCGAATCAATGTTTGGTTCACGTCGACGGTTGCTTTTTCTTTCGTGGCCCGGGATGGGAGGCGTCCGGCGTTTCCAGGCAGGCCCGCGCCGAGGGTCAGTCGAGGGTGTGGATTTTCATAAAAAATGGGCATGTCTGGGAGCGCAGAACCAGACAACAGGCGAACTCACTTTAGGTTCACGCCGACGGCTTCGTTTTAGTGCCCGGGACCGGCCGGCTGGGCGGGCGCTGGGGCGGAGAAGAGCTGATCGAATGCGACCGCCCGCTTGTCCGCTTGTCGCTACTACGGCAGAACGTAGCCGCTTCGGTCGGGAAAAAGGACGCTGAGCAATGCGGGCAAGTTGGGTTCATTTCTCCGTCGGCCCACTGCGTTGCATTCGCGGCGAATCCTGTCATGCGACCTGTCGCGGTCGACGGCGAAGGCATCTTTTGGCAAGAGAAGCCCGCAACGAATGCAACACACTTCTGGTCGGCGTCGGTAGAGGCCGAAAGCCTTCGGGGCATTGGCGGTGCAAGCGCGAAGTATGCGCGGGAAGCTCGGTTGCGCTGACGGATGCTGAAGTCCAGCCGCGGAACGTCTTGATCGCAGCGAATGCCATGCAGTGTATGTGCGCTGGGACGACCGCGGAAGGCTGGCCGTGCGCGCACGGCGGACATCAGCGAAAGTCTTGAACCGAAGCGTACGGAGGAGTCCAAGGATCTCGCGTGAGAAAATGAACACGTACAATGGCATGATATGTTATGTGTCTATGCTACGCGATGCTATGTGATGCTATGCGGCGCATTCCTATGCCATGCTATGCCATGCTACGTCATCCTAGGCTGCGCAACGGTCAGACTGAGCGGGCCCGGGCGGTCTTACGCTCTCCTTGCGCGCGCGTGGCTGGATGGGCGGAGAAGGAGGACGGGGAGGAGAAGGAGGAGGAGGAGGAGGAGGAGGAGGAGGAGGAGGAGGAGGAGGACACCTCCTGAAAAATGAGCATCCGTACTGTATCCCGGAGGCGGTGAGGAAAAACGAGGATAAGGCGATGGAAGAGTTTGAGGCGTCGAGCACGGGGGAACGAGGGCGAGGAGGGGGAGGGGGAGGCAGAGAGGGAGAAACGGAGGAGGAGGAGGAGGAGGAGGAGGAGGAGGAGGAGGAGGGGGAGGAGGGTCACGAGAACTGGACTGTCGGACGTCCGAAGCGGTGACGTCGAGAGTCATATCAAAACCATGTTGGGCTCTAGTGGGGATCTCTTAAGGGCTTCGTGGGCCATCTTGGGGGGAGCTTACAATAAAAATAACTTGGGGCGATGGGGAGGCCTCTGAGGCGAATCAAAAGATTGTGAATGTGACGTCCGTAGCCCTGATTGGAGCTCCTGTTGGGGTTTTCGTTTCGGTCATCGGGGAGCCCTCTTGGGCTGTTCTGGGGCCCCCGTGGACCGTCGTGGGAGCTCGGGCCGCCTTGGGGCCGCTTTGAGGCACTCTTGGGCTGCCCTGGAGCCTCCCGTGGCCCTCTCTGAGGCTTCCCGTGGCGCTCTTGTGGCCCTCTTGGGGGTCTCTTGGGGCTGTGTTGTGGGCTCTCCTTGGCTCCCTGCGGGCTCTGCTGGGCCACTGTGGGGCCCCACTGGGCCGCTGGGAGGCCTTCCGTGGAGTCTCTCGGCCAGCCTTGGAGCAACCTCGGAAGCTCGCAGACCGGTCTTGTGCCGCTGTTGGCAAGAAATCTGGGACACACCGAACGTTTCAAAAACCTACAGAACAAAAGCAGCGTTTATTGGCTCTCCAAGCGCTTTTCCATGTTCTCGTGGGGGCAATCTGGACCGTTTTGAGGCCATGCTGGGCTTTCTTGGAGCGTTATGAGGCCGTCGTGGGGCAATCTCGGGCCTTTTTTTGTGAGGACGTTTTGGAAGTACCTTGAATGCTTTCTGCCGTCTTGGGCGCCCGATGTAGGGTTCGTGGGGCTCCCTTCGAAATATGTTGACCGTGTCTGCAGGCCGTCTCGGAGCGGCGATGGGAGCATCGGGGAAGCCGAATTAGGTGACGGCCATCGGGGGGTCCCTTATCATTTCGTAGGAGAACGAGTACACATGTGTATGCATGTATGTAAGTATGTATGTATGTGTGTATGTATGTATGTATGTATGTATGTATGTATGTATGCATGCATGCATGCATGCATGTATGCACGTATGTGTGTATGTATGTGTATATGTATGTGTATATGTGTATGTGTGTATGTGTGTATGTATGTATGTACGTACGTACGTACGTATGTATGTATGTATGCATGTATGTATGCCTGTATGTATGTATGTTTGTATGTATGTATGTATGTACATGAGACTGCATTGGCGCTTCGCGCCATGCGCTTTGTTCCAGACCCTCCCTGGCAAAGCAATCAATCATCGTTTGCTTCAGCGGGAAGGGCCTCGAAGCCTAGACGGGCGACCGGCTCATTCTTCTGATTTCCCTGGTGCCTGGTGGCACGGCGTTCGCCCGATGCGTTTGTACGCTTGCGCGCAGGAGTGGGGAAATAATCCGGATTTCCCACACATCCTAAGTGGGGTTCTTGTTCTCTCTGGACGGCCGCGGGCCACACACCCACCCACCAACCACACCCAGTCACACACACACACACACACACACACACACATCATGATCAT